AGTTCTTGAATTTATAGATCACATTTGAATTAGAGAATTTGGAGTATCAAAGTGACCTTAAATCTATGTTGCTCGGATACTTCAATAATGTTGATGGTTGCGTGTTGAATCATCCAAAAGTAGTGTATTTTTGAAGGATCTAACATGGGTTCAGCAATAAATTTGGAGAGTCCGAGCAACACTCTCTAATTAAGGGAGTATTCGTCTCGTTGATTTAAGGTAATAAAATGAGTTAGATTACTAATTGTTCACTTGGCCTAGTGGAACATCTTGATCTGCATAACCAAGTGTATGACAGAAATATGCAGCAAGTTTGCGTAAATGCCTCAAATTTGGAAGAATATTTCACTAGAGAATCTGAAAATCATTTGAATTAATTATCTTGTTCTTAAAAATGACTTCCTTTCAAAAATTAAGAAAAACATTTTTCAAAACTCTCCTCCAATTTTAAATTACAATCTTTTTTTGTTGAAAAAATAAATTTAAAGCTTATTTTAAAAAAATATTTTCAACTTCAATTTCTTAATTTTTCAACCCTTTCCATCCCCCACCCCCCTCACCAAAAAAATTATAATTTGTTTTAAAAAATATTTTCAATTTCAATTTTTTATTTTTTCACCCCACCCCACCCCTACCCACGACCCCCCATCAGCCTCCACCTCCCTCCAAAAAAATTAAGTTTGTCTTTAAAAAATATGTCGAATTTCAAATTTTTATATTTTCACTCCACCCCATCCCTACCCCCGACCCCCCACCCCTCCTCCCCGATCAGCCCCCTACCAGTCCCCCATCCCCTCCAAAAAAAATTAAGTTTGTTTTTAAAAAATATTTTTTAATTTCAAATTTTTATTTTTTACCTCATCCACCCCTACCCCCCACCCTCCACCCCAAAAAAAAATTAAGTTTATTTTAAAAAATATTTTCAATTTTCAAAATTTTATTTTTTCATCCCGATCCCTGACCCACCCCCCAAAAAAATTTGAGTTTGCTTTTAAAAAATATTTTTAACTTCAAATTTTCATTTTTTCACCCCTACCTTTGACCCCCCCACCCACCCCTTACCAGCCCCCCACCCCCCAAAAAAAAATTTAAGTTTGTTTTTTAAAAATATTTTCAACTTCAAAATTTATTTTTTTCACCCCTACCCTCGAGCCCCCCCTCCACCCACCCAAAGATTAGAAAATAAGTCAAAAATCTACTTGTTTTTCAGGAAAACATTTTCCTTCATACCAAACACACCCAATGTGTTCACAGAGCTAAATTATCTTGTGCTAAAAAAAATTCAGAGGTTCTTCCCTTCGGAGTTTAGTATGGATGTCGATAGGATCAATGTTGTGGAGCCAATGAAGTCTACATTTGTTGTGCAAGCCCAAATCCGAAGAGCTATTGAGGCTGCAGAAATTCCCTATACTTACGTCTCATGTAACTATTTTGCTGGTTATTTCATACCAAATTTGGCTCAGCCATTAGCCACTGCTCCTCCTCGAGACAAAGTCATCATTCCTGGAGATGGGAATGTTAAGGGTAAGTCGAAAAAAATTACTCCATTGATTTGAATTTGGTACGCGTGCCAACAGAACAAGTTCATGATAAAATGTCTCATTTTTGTGTACTTTTTTTGCTGCTTTGTTCTGTTTGTCTGCAGCTGTATTCAATGAAGAACGTGACATTGGCACCTATACCATTAAGGCTGTTGATGACCCGAGAACGTTGAACAAGTCCCTTTACATCAGGCCTCCCAAGAACACCTTATCGTTCAACGAGCTTGTGGCTATATGGGAGAAACTGATTGGTAAAACTCTCGAGAAAATCTACGTTCCAGGGGAGCAAATTCTCAAAGACGTCCAGAGTCAGTAATCTTTATATCATTCATATTTACTACTGTTTCTTTCAATTTAACATAGGTAATCCTGACAATGTATATTGCATACTGTTGCAGCATCTCCGATACCAATGAATATCATACTAGCAATCAACCACTCAACATTCGTGAACGGTGATCATACCAATTTTGAGATTGAGCCATCGTTTGGGGTTGAGGCCTCGGAACTTTATCCAGATGTTAAGTACACTACCGTGGAGGAGACCTTGGTCACGGTGTCTAAACTACACGTTTGATGTCTTCGATCACTCGAATAAACTGTTAGATGATGAGTGTTATCAGACATTTTATCTGGAAGTATGAGTGCTTGTTAACTATGTCATCGGAGACACATTGAATGGTATGTTTTAAGTCTGTTTTTTCTGTCCATACTGAGTAGTACTATAATGAAACTACAGAAAACGGAAGATACATTCGCGTCTTTTTACTTTTTACATTGTTGCTCTACCATCTTGTACCAGATTTTAAGGTGTGATGTAATATGAAAGAGTCTTGTTGTCAATAAAGATCAATCAAAGAGGACTCTCTACTGTTTATAAATGAGGCTCACTCATTTCAGTTTTCTCTAGCTTTCTTATGAGTTCAAGTATCGTATGGAACATAATCCACGGATCGTTTGCCTTAAAATCTAAAGAATTCCGTTAGGAACCTATGTAATAGTATCCCGATCAAATAGCTGATGAGCGGATATATAGTGATTGGAAAATATTGTCAATTTGGTATGATGATTTTACATGATGAGTTATTACCCTACCAATCTAACATAATCATTCATGCTTTAGTCATACTCCACTGCTTTTTCCATACTAGTTAGGTAAACCTTCCCACTTCACCTAACTTTTGTTAGGAAGAATATGCTTCTTCATTCTAGAATGGATCATGATACTTACGCGAAAAGCCGAGCAAATTACTGTTTATTTTCTTTAGTCAGTATACATAAATTATACACGATCATACATATATTACACATCCACCATTATTGTTATATGAGAAAGGAAATACAAATGAAAAAAAAAAGTTGAATAGAATAAAAAGAATTGACCAATTGCTTCTGTAATTTAATAAATGGAATTGTTGTTGTACCTTCTGTAGATATATATATACACCAAATCATATTTTGTCCATCCATCCCTTGCCAAAATAATGCAAGGACCACCATGTCTCAAATGCTCAAGTGGGGTTACCTTAACAATTTGAAATAATGGTACTCAATTTCTTCAACCAAAATGATGTTTTTCACTCTTCATCATTGGCCCCATGTACACCTTATAAACTATGTTGCTCGGATCCTCTATAAATGTCACTCATGTTTGTATTAGATCCTCCAAACATACACTACTTTTAAAGGAACTGACAAAGGTACGACCACATTTTTGAAGTATCCGAGCAAAATAGCTTAACAACATTTTCATCTCCCATAGCCTCGTCGTCCATGTGTAGCGCCCTCCTTGGCAACAACCCCATCATTTTTCCAGCCTTTAGCTCACCTGCAAAAAGAGAGACTAATAACTTCAAACTTGATCATAAGACCATATAAAAACTAGGAAGTGATGAGACATTTTTAAAATATCAACAACAACAAGAAGGTGGCGGAATCGAACCGTCACCAATAAGGTGAAAGTTCAGATAGCCAACCAACTGAGCTACTTAGATTCCTCATTTTAACAATATCCTTACCTGTGTGTTTGATAACAAAAAATTCCCCATTGGCTTTAGCACTTGCTGATAAACGTACAAGAATAGGAGTAACAATGGTAAGAACAGCCCAAAAAAATAAAATCAAGATAATTGTTCTTCCACTCATTTGATGGAGAATTTTCAGAAATACAATGAAAGAAGGATTTTAATATATATAGTAGCAAAACTATGTAGTAGTAGTAGTTAGGTACTGCAATAAGACTTAGCTGGCCATGTTTTATCAACTAATCAAATTGATGATAATAAAGTATTCCAAACTACTACTAGAAATAATGCCTAATTGGACGTGTATAATATGTATAAATAAACTCATTTTGTAATAAAAGTCAGATACTATGGTGATATAATCTTGTTATTTTCCATGTTTTGGTTGTTAGGAAGTTGTCACCCTCATTACGAAGAAGGGTGGGTTCAATCTCACATTTTGTCATCAGATAACAAAGTTGATTTCTCCCCAAAATCCTCCGCAGTCGGGCCTCCAAGAGCAAGGAACCTCAACACCAACAACTTGGATCCTTCTTAGATACAGAATAGTCAACAATCTTTTTGTAAAACTAAAAAAAGTAAAGAGAAATTGGTTAGTTAAAGCACAAAGTACAATTTTTGCAGCATGTGTTGGTTTTCTAACGTCCATTTCTATAATATCGAAAATTTCAAATTAGGCCCATTTTGTTATGTTAGTTTAGACTTAAATGAGAATTGAACATACAATTTTGACACAAAGAGAAAATATGTACATAAAATATGAGTATATTTTTTCGAAGAATTCATGAGTTCACATGCACCAATTAGATATTTGAGTTTTTTTACTTTTTATGAGTAGCATTAGATTCAGGTTATTAATCATGTAATATGATTATTGATTAGTACAGTGATTTTATCATTACTCCTATTAATTGATAGAGTTTTAATCGTATTTACTTCACTATATTTTTCAAATACATTAACTCAATGCAACTAAATTGAGGGTATAATAGAAAGAAAAAAAATGTTCTTCCTTGATTTGTCAAAAATGACAAGTAAAAAGGGAAATCAAATTAGAAAATATTTGACAAGTAAATAGGGATAAAGAGAGAGAGCATACAACTCTAAGAAACAACTTCTCCTCTAGAGTTCAACTCCTGTAGAGTTCTATTTTATCGAAGAAAATATTTGAGTTTTTACTTTTTATAACATAGCGTTAGAGCCAGATTATCTATTATGTAATATGATTTGTTTCTATTTGTAATTTGAGCAATGACCATTAGGACCCCATATTTACTTTAATTTAATTACTTTCTATATTTTGATAGATTACTTCTATGACTATCTTTTGGGAGAATAATTCAATTGGAATTAAGAAAAACCTTAAAATTTTCTAAATGAATTGAAAAAAAAAAAAAACTTAATTTCCAAATTTACCCTTTGGAGGCCCTAGGCATGTGGTATTCACTATTCTGCCCTACCATTACTCTGTGAAAAGCCTTCATTTCTCACTCAGTCGTCTCTTTTGCTAAGCCACAATAACACAAACACCTTGACTGCACAGCCCCACTGATCAGAAAGAGGGCTAAACGAAGAAGGAGGAGGTCAAAAATGGGAACCCTTGGGAAAGCAATTTACTCCCTGGGATCCATGGTTCGAGCGACCGGCAAAGCTCTTGATCGCGTCGGAAATCGCCTTCAAGGCAGCTCCCACATAGAGGAACACCGTAATTTCCTTATTCTTAACCCTAGATCTCACCTCCCGTTTCCTCCACAATGTTTAATTTACCGATGTTTGAATATGATGTTGTGTCGCTGATGCATCTATGATTGTTTATGTTATTGCATTTTATCCTAATTTGTTAATACTTTTTGTTTGGGGAAAAGTGATAAGAGTTTGGAGTGTGGAGGTTAGAATATTTGATGTTCATTTTCAGTGTGAGGACATTTAGAAATTGTTCCTAATTTAGAAGTTGCCGTTAGTTAATAAGCTTATTTACCTTGTGTCTCTATTGCTTCTATGCTTGTTAATGTTATTCCATTTCATCCGTTGAGCTTTGTTAGTACTCTTTGTTTAGGAAAAAATGTTAAAGTTTGGAGTGTGGAGGTTAGAACATCTGATTTTCAATGCGAGGACATTAAGGAATTGATCCTAATTTTGAAGTTGTTGTGAGTTAATACGTTTATTTACCAATGTTTCAATATGATATTGTTGTCTCTTCTACATCTACAATTGTTTATGTTATTGCATTGAATCCGTTGGGCCTAGGTAATACTCGTTTGGGGGACATTTAGAAATTACATGATTATTTTATACGTTAAACAAAAATAGACTGTAAATCACAACTTCTATATGAAAAAAATTTAGTGGAAGAAACATTGTGTGACTCCTCAATTAGTGCAACTAGTATTCTTCTTGAGAATGTGAAATGCAGTCTTGTGAATGCTCAGTTCTCCTGTCTTCTTCGGGTCATTATTGGAGTTCTTAGATTTGCACTTTTGAAATGGGTGTCCAGTCCCTATGAAGTTGTGCTTTAGGAAAAAGAATTAGGAAAGGGTGGAAAAGGCATTTTGGAGTGGGTTCTAATGCATATTCATACTCTTATGCTTATTTGAATTCTATGTTCAGTAGTTTTAGGTAACTGATTCTGAGCGCAAATGAAGTACAAGAGAATGAAAGATGTAATATGTTATAATTGTCCTTGTAAAGCATAAGAAACACAGGGGATTACCTTCAGGGATGGTATCTTAGAAGAACCTTTCCTTATGTGACAAACCTAGTTGCTCGGTCCTTTTGATCAATTCCCTTTTACTCATGGTTAGGGTTTCGATTAGCCTCTTTGGTTGTTGTTAAGTTACCAAAGACCCTTCCATTCCCAAAAGTTGTTTGGTTGTATAAGAGTATCCCGGGAGAAAGCAAATTAGACCTTACTTAGGGAGAAAAATGTATTGGATGGTTCATTCTTGTCTGAATAGCACCACTTACGCTTATATAAGTGGTGCTATCTTTCATCAATGTAAGGAACCTGTCAAAAGTGAGTAGAGTTGGCTACTTTCTTTAGAACCTATTTGCTTAATGACATTAACTCAACCTATTCCAGCTGCATATTAAGCAGATTTTTAAGGACTATTGGTGCATTAGGCAGTTTATATGCCCACCAAGTATTTTGCTGATTCAAATAGTTGTGCCTTGAGATGGAGGACGGATCACAAAGTTGGTTTAAGTTGTCCCACATTGGTTGTGGGATGTGGAATTGATCTCCTTATATCTTGGACAATTCTCACCTCATGGCTAGCTTTTGGGTTGAGTTAAGTGTAAGATGCTCCTAATCATGATAGCAAAGCCAAACACATCCCAATTTTGGTTTATCCATTGTTTGACCCCCATATTATGGTGTCCATACTCCCGTTGACAGGCTCGGGCGTGTGGGAGTGTTAAGTTGTCCCACATTGATTGTGAGATGTAAAATTGGTCTCCTTATATAGTAATTGGACAATCCTCTCCTTTTTTAAAAAGATAGAAGTAATTGGACAATCCTCTCCTTATGAGCTAACTTTTAGGGTTAAGTTAAGTCCAAGGTCCATTTTTATCAGTTGGTTGTTGACATAAGAGGGGCCTGAAGTGGAATTTTGGGTGGATTTCTTGCTGGTTTCCATTATGAATTGAGAACTTGATTGTTATGCTAGTTGCTTCACTCTCCCTTCTAAAACATCGAATATGCCTACTAAGAGCAGGAATGCAGGATGTGATATGTAACTTGAATAATATCCACTTTATTGCCACTATTATCCATTATCTTTTTTAAAATAAATGATATTAAGTGATGCATTATTGTCATATATATTTATTCTCATATGAATTGCACCAGTTATGCCTCATTGATCTTTCATGCAACAATTCTCAAACACCATCTCCCTTATTAAAAGAAAAAAAATGTCTGTTATGTAGCCTTCCTTCTAGTAATTAGACTCCTTTAAGTGGTCAAATTTGAACTTAAGCTTGGTTAGTTACACCTTCTATGTTTCAGTGTCCAGGCATCGGACTCTTATGAACATATTTGATAAAGCTCCAGTGGTGGATAAGGATGTATTTGTAGCTCCAGGTGCCACAGTCATTGGAGACGTCCATGTGGGACGCAATTCATCTATTTGGTATGGATGTGTGCTAAGAGGTAAGTATCTTATCACAACATTGTTATTGTTGGATGGTACGTTCAAGTGTTACATGGCAGTTTCGATTCTCAAGTAATAGTAGTTTTGACCATGTTTCCATGACTCCGCCGTTGTTCTAGTGCATAAAATAGTGAAGTTGGTATGATGCACGCTATCCATTGGCAAATAAGAGTTAATCTTTTGTTGCTTGTTGGCCTTCTATATCTTCCCTCAATTCCTCTATATGGCAGTTAACATAGGGTACTGAAGTTGCAGGTGGCTATGTGCAGTACCCTTTGAATAGTGTAGCTCTTAATTTAGAACAAACTATTTGAAAAATGATCAGCAAATGAAATGTTATTTTGGGGGCTTCTTGGAACTTGAACAATTTCTTGCTTGAGTCACTAGTTTCAGATCAAAAACCCAATTTCTGTAGATCTTTTTCTTCTTTTGGCCGTCAAACATCAATTGCAACGGTTTGATAGACGCTTCATTGGGATAGATGTAGGAAATCTCTTCTCCTCTTCCCTTCTCCAGTTCTCCTTGATATATTATTCTTTTCAATTCCCACAAGACACTTTAGAATGCAAAAGGAACTTTGGAAAATTCAAATGCATGAAATACCATTTATGTGGTTTTGTTTTAATTTGTACATAAGGACCCTAAAACATGTCTTACATATGCCTATGTATAGTGTGTTAGTACATATACCTTCTCTTATCACATAAATAATCAGTGAAAATGTGAGGTGCTGTAAGGGTGTTCTCATCCCAGTCCTACCTGTTTAGGGAAATTTGAAATTTCTCATACATGACCCATTTCAACAGGTGGGTTTCCCCTTCCCCTTGTATATGAGCTCTTGCAACTAATCACTTTAGGCGAAATTCAACTTTTATTTTGGGTTTTTATCACAAATATGATTGTCCGTGGGGGTGTATTTAATCATTTCTAATAATTAATGATAGCACAACTTCATTTTATTTTTTTGTGTAGTGATTATTAGTCGGCAAGAAATTTTCTGTATTTGCATGCTATATTGAAGTATTTAAAAATTTTATGTGCCTTCTCTTTTACAGGTGATGTTAACAGCATCAGTGTTGGATCTGGCACCAATATACAGGACAACTCCCTTGTTCATGTGGCCAAATCAAACATAAGTCAAAAGGTGCTGCCCACCATTATAGGGAACAATGTCACTGTTGGTAAGTATTCAAGTCCGGCCTTAGCATCCGTTACGTTGGTTTTATGGATAGTGACTTCAGCTTTCTGTAGGTCATAGTGCTGTTGTACATGGCTGCACCATTGAGGATGAGGCCTTCATTGGTATGGGAGCCACACTGCTTGATGGTGTTCATGTAGAGAAACATGCCATGGTTGCTGCAGGATCCCTTGTGAAACAGAACACAAGGATTCCCTCCGGAGAGGTAGGTATCCAGTAGTCCCCTCATCATCACCAATGATTTATTTACAGTAAGTCCGCTGTTAAAAGATGTGGTAGAATGGGTGAAATTCCATGGAGGTGTTCTACTCTCCTCTTGAGACAGATACCTATGTTTGCTGCTGCTTGCTAACAATAACACCTCACCTCTTAAAATACGTGTATGGAGTTTCTCTTTCTTTTGTGGGTTTCACTCTCTGGCCCACCTATGTTGGATATGAGAGAGATGTAAAGATGTTGAGGACATGATTAGATTTTGTCTTATATTAGATATTGCATTTGGCAATACTGTATTATCATATAGGAACTTGCCCTTATCTATCTGAGCTTCATTGCAATTAGGCCTTCAAAATTCCTAGTTTATTACCACTACACAGAAAAGGTAAAGTCTATTTTGTCCTAAAGAAAAAGAGTGGTTGGAGAAAGCAGCTCCTTATGCAATTCTAAATATTTTGTTTGCTATGCTTTTCTGAATAGGTCAGATACAACAGTGTTACTTATATGTTGCAAAGTCATAAGTTTTGTGGATATGGGATCGAAACTTTGACACCCAACTTATAACTTGACTCATTTAATTTTCCTGTAAAATTTGACTTATCCCACTGTCTTAACTATGGTTGGGGTTCAAGGAGGTTTAAGACTGTCAAATGTTTCACAAGTCTACCAAGTTACATCTTTTGTTCACATTCCATTATGAATCAGTGTGGTGAATCGCTGGATTTAACACTCTGCATTAAGCCACATTATGATTTAAGAGGCTTAATCTGCTCTCACTATCTAATTGTGAATCTATATGACACAGGTATGGGCAGGCAATCCAGCTAAGTTTCTGAGGAAGCTAACTGATGAAGAGATAGCCTTCATTGCCCAGTCGGCAACCAATTACTGTAACCTTGCTCGTGTCCATGCAGCTGAGAATTCCAAGTCCTTTGACGAAATTGAATTTGAAAAGATGCTTCGTAAGAAGTATGCCAAACGTGATGAGGAATATGATTCTATGATTGGTGTTGTCCGTGAAACACCTCCCGAGCTTGTACTTCCTGATAATATTCTCCCTGAAAAAGCTGCAAAGAGCATCGTCCAATGAGATTAGTGCCCAATCAACTCTCTCTCTGTTTTGCTTTCCAAAGATTTATTTTACCCCGTGAGCATCTGTATGGAGAATAGTCATGGATATTGGCTGTTGCCCTTCCAAATAATACCAAACTTATTGGATAGCATCGGTACGTCAGTGCTTGTAGTTAAGACTTTTGGCCCTTGTTTCCCAGGCACTTTCCTCAGCTTGGAAAAGGAAGTTACTCTCAAAAGCCATATGCATTTGGTGCTTGTAACTCGAGAAATCGTTTTAGATTAATTTGGTAAATTGTACTTGGAATAACATAAAACATTGATTTATCAGTTGAAGCATTTCTGTTTAGCAATGCCCTTCTTGTTTGAGATTCCTCCTAACGACCATGCATTATTGAGATGCGTGACTAAGTAGCACAGTGCATGTGGAAAAATCAATGACCTAAACCTAAGGCATGTTAGCTTTAGTATATTATAATATTATAAAGGTAAAGATGATTGGCTGATTGGGGTATGAAGAGCCAAAAGATGAGCAATTTCCCCGTAAATTCAGCCTTGTCTTATTGTGTTTTTATAATGACAAAATGGACTGTATATGAATGATTGGGATCTGTTGAATTGTTTGGTTTTGAATGGAGTCATCTTTGGTCATGAATCTTTTTTTCTGTACCCTTCGGCGCATACTTGATTTTCACTCTCTTTAGAAAAAAAAAATATATATATATATTCAAGATCTGTGATTGTAAGGGGTCCATTAGAAGATTCCTTTTGGACCACTTTTTCTTCTTACACAATTGGTCCACTCACTCCACAAATGGTACTTTCTACACCATTCATAGTGGGGTAGGAGCCACTATTCTACTTACGTGTTTCGTTTCAGTAGAACTCAATAACTTTAGATCGAATTATGTATTTGTGTTTTAGTGAGTATCTCGATTCTTAATTGATCAACATGGATTGTTTTGGGATGCTTGGGGTCCCTTCACCTTTTTTAATTAAAAATCTCAGGTTTGATCTCTGAGAATGAAAAAATCTTGTTGAGAGCATTACCTTCAAAAGTGGGCGCAAATTCAAATTAGTTGGACTTTAATGTGGGTATTTGACGTTAGAAACAAAAGAAGTGTACCAATAGAACAAATACTCAATGAAATAGGAGTTTTTCAAATTTGATTGAGGAGAAAGATTTGTACGAAATATATAGAGAGGCATTATTGAGAGAGAGAGAGAGAGAGAGAGCTAGACAAAAATCTGAGTGAAGAGCACGAGTTTAGATACGTTTCAGTTAAAGGCTATATGAACAATGATGAACAAAAATCCATAAATATTTCAACAAAATTGAAAATTTATGGAAAGAGGCAAACCAATGAACCATCAAATATCTATTGGTTTATATCGTTACTTTTTAGTTTTGTCATATCATACGTGAATTAAATTATTATTTCTTATAGAATATTTATATAGTAAAAAAGAGAGTGAAATTTCAAAATATAGCTAATTTATTTCAATCTTTTGAGTTTCATATCTGAACTCTTCAAAGTATAATTTTTTAACTGAATTATCATGCTTTTATAATCTAAAAACATTCAAATAGCAAATTATATATAAATTTTATTTGGGTTTACAAAAATTAAAAATCTTACGTTCAAGAAAACATTAATAAATGTTTCATCTCGTACTTTATAGAAGTTTGGAAATGACTTTGCTAAGATTTGCTAAATAAACGAGCATGTTATTATTTGTAAAACAATTAATTAATGGTGGAATTAAGTTAAATAAAACTTATCAATTATTTCATGTGCATGCATGCCTTGCATATACAAAAAATAATTTAACATGAACAGGCAAGTTTAGTGTTGTTCTCGTAAGAAATTGAAGTTCAATTTTAATTAGTTCATTTTTGCAGATAAAATTATACGAATTTATTCATTAATAAAAATTCCAAAACCATTAAAAACAAAACCAAAAAGACAAATATATTTAAAAATTGTATTTGGAGGGGCATATTTTTTTTGTCAAAATTCAAAAAAGCATGCTTGGTGCCGTCATCATACATTAGCTTATTAATCAAAATACATTTCTTAAAATAAAATATATATAATCTATGGAGGCTGGATTGATAATTGAGTTTTGAGCCAAACAATTTTTATTTCTTATAAAGGGGAGTAATTCTATTTTGGTCCTCCAAATATAATTTTATATATCTTTAATTTTTAAAATTGCTAGAGTAAAACACTTTTGATCTAACCAATATAATGAATTTAAAAATTAATGATGACTATAAAAAATCGATCTACTTTTAAACCTATGGAAAAATAAATCAACCTCACCCCTAGATTTGCTTTTTTTAAAAAAAAAAATCAACTTAGCTCGATCGTGTTTAAGCAAAAAGCCTGGAAAATTTAATGAGAGATCGATATTTTATTTAAAACGATCGAAGTTTAGCAAAAAAAAAAAGAAACCAAGCTCGGTCATTTTTTAAAAAATAACTTTTTTTTATCGGTCTATACTAAAAAAATTGCATAATAATTAAATTTGATCATTTTTTTCATTTCTCCTATTTTTAACATATGAAAAACAATGGAGCTTGATTGAATTTATGAAAAGTTAAACAAAAATTGAAATCAAACCAATCGAGTCAATTGATTTTTCAATAATGGATTTTCCTCATATCTTTGATAAAATGTTTTATGATAGTTAACATTACTTTTAAAATCTATTTTATTAGTTAGAGCAAAAATGCTCAATTTTAGCAAATTTATAGAATTAAAGAGTTATGATTATATATTTGGAGAAGAGGACCAAAATTAAAAAACAAGTGGACTAGTAGTGGCAATATTGTACAGTAAAGAATAGAGCGCCTATAAATTGGAGGATTACAGACAAAGTTAACAGAGCAAAATTTATAAGGGAATTATGGGAGTTGAAATTCGACCAGCCACCATTAATGGTGAAAATCACAGTGAAAGTGTAAATATAGGTGCACCAGTTGTACTTGGACTACAACCATTTGCCCTAGTAGATCATATAGCTAAGGTGGATTGGTCTCTTCTCTCCCAAATTCCCGGTGAACGTGGTGGCTCTTTCCCAGTACTTCCTCTTTCTTTTTCTTTTTTTTTTAATTCTTTATTATATACAGTTTTTGTGATAAAGATGGAATCTTTTTGATTGTTTGGGGGTTTTAAGGTTTGGGGTTGGTTTGTTTTTGATATAATTGATTGTTTTATTGCCAATTGCTAAAAAAAAAATTAGATCTTTGAATTCTGTGTTGTATATGTGTAAATTTTCAGCTAGCTTGTATGTTTTAGTTCCACTTTTTTTTGCAGTAGATTCTATTGCTCTTTGGATCTTTTGATTCTCTGTTTTAGTGTGTGTATGTGTTTAATTATCTTGTTTTAGTTGTGGGGGTGGGATTTGCTGCACTTGAGCCGAGTCTGTCGGAAGTGGTAAGGTCTGCGTACACTATACCCTCTCAGACCCCACTTGTGGGATTTTACGAGTATGTTGTTGTTGTTGTTGCTTTAGTTGTGGGGTGGGACAGGGAGTTTGGTAGCTGAGTTTGATTGTTGTTGATTAGAATATGTCAAGTGCTTTTTAATTTCATTGGGATGGGATGGTGACAATGTCAAAATCCAGTGTAGACTGCGAAACAAGATAGAACCTTTTTTGCTGATGAAGTTTGATGTATCATAGAATCTGAAAGGGGATTATGCGTGAGTTGATCTCGGTTTCTCCATATATCATGAGGTTATGTCTTTTGTGATTCTACAATTGAACATTATAGGTTGATCATTGTAGAATAACCTTTTGAGTTTCGGGTTTCCTACTACTATCAATCTTAGACTGAAAATGAGGGAATTTGGCTCGCATTTGATACTTTGGACTGAGAGGATGTTTTGGTTGAGTTGATAAAATGCATTTTACATTTGGTTCATTAACTTCCCTTTTCTCTAATCCATGTGGTTCATTTGTTAAAAGATTATGTTATTGCATATCTCACCCTTCACTCTGCCTATGTGCAAACGGTCCAAGCCTGGATAAAGGATGAAAGCAGAAGTAAAATAGTCTAAACTATGATTTCTGAGTGCTGAATTCGCTGGGATGTGAAAACTGATTTGAAATATAGCATTCATATAGCCGACCATTGATGCATAGTTGGTTGGCTTATCTCGCCCGTAACTGCCAGCTAGGAGAGGCATAATGTTTATAAAAAAAAATGGCATGCTAAAATACAAAAACCATGAAATATTATGTTTGCTACAAATGTCCTTATTTGTTCTAAACAAGAGTCTGATCCATTTAGTTTCCTTTGTTAACTGAAGGTTGCAGTTGAAGAGTTAAAGCATATACTCAACGAGCTTAACGCCCATATCCTTCCTTCTACTGACAATGAATCCCTATTGAAGACTATAGCTGGAGGTAGTGTTGCAAATACAATTAGAGGGTTGGCTGCTGGCTTTGGGATTAGTAGTGGGATCATTGGGGCTTGTGGTGAAGATGAAGAAGGTAAATTATTTATGAGCAACATGGGCCTTTCCAAAGTGGATCTCTCAAGATTGAGATTGAAGAATGGAACTACAGCTCAGGTGAGCACATTTGTTGGGATATTAAGATTCTGTATATAGATGATTCCCCGGTTTCTAATACCATGTAATTTTTTATGTACAGTGTGTTTGTCTGGTTGACGAAGTTGGCAATCGTACCATGCGTCCCTGTTTGTCTGGCTCTGTGAAAGTTCAGGTGATTTCTACTTTCATCTAGTCAAACTCAGTGGTGGGTAATGATTCTAATGATGTGTAAAATATTAAGCAAAGTGACCGTACGTTTGTCTTATTATTTCCTTGCTTTATCAGGCAGATGAACTGAAAAGAGAGGACTTCAAAGGTTCCAAGGTGAGGAGTCCTTATTTGATATTTTAAACTCTTATCTCCATCATTTTGTATACAATTAGTTATTACAATGTTGTATGTTTTCCCAGTAACATGTAGAGTTTGCTGATCCATTTATGAAAACGATTTAATTTCTGCTCGTTGGAGGACTACTCTGGGGAATTGTAGCATTGAAAATTTCTTCACTTATTTGCCTCTAATTTTTTGTAACAGTGGTTGGTACTGAGATATGCCATACTGAATGTAGAAGTTATTAAGGCGGCCATCAAAATAGCAAAGGAAGAAGGTCTTTTTGTTTCTCTTGATCTTGCCAGCTTTGAGGTAATTGTTCGCATAGGCTACATGGTATTATTTGAAGTTGGGTATTTCATTATTTGCTTTGAGTTTATGAAGCAGAAACAGTTACATGTCTTCTCAATTGATACAATGATCTTATTTCATTCTCTTTATTTGAGCTGTCCATACTCCATAGTTGGAAACATATATAAGAACACACGTATGAACGAAACTCAAATTACATTGTTCTGTTGAAATATGTCTGATGAGTGTTAATGATAATAGGATTTGGGTTGTTTTTTTTTTTTTGGTTCCTTTATGATATTCTTAATATATGGCAGATGGTGAGGAAGTTTAAATCACCTCTAATTGAATTATTGGAGTCGGGAAACATAGACCTTTGCTTTGCAAACGAGGACGAAGCAACTGAGCTACTAAGGTGATTACTTAAAACTAAGAAATTGTGTTTATTGACTACGATATTGATAGGCAATTCATGCAAATGACGATTTATGTTTTTCCAACATTTGATGCAGGGATGAAGAGAAAGCAGATCCTGATGCAGCACTTGAATATTTGGCTAAACATTGCAAGTGGGCTGTTGTCACCTTAGCCCAAAACGGGTGCATTGCGAAACATGAGAAAGAGGTATCTCTAATCCTTCCCCACCTGCAGTCCATCTTTAAGACACAGTGATTAAAAAAGAACCTTTTGTTCTGGTCTTCTGGATGTTCATATTATTTAAAGATGGTAATCGAGTGCCCGCAACTCAGTGGTTCTTGTCATTCGTATAGTAGGCTACTAGCAATTTAATATTTTCTCTCCATTTCATTTTATGTGAATGTATTTGACTGGTCATGGAGTTTAACAAAGAAGGAATTTTTTAAGTAAACTTGTGGTTATAAACATTATGTCATAAAATGACTTTTTTCGCTGATAATTTGTGATCTATACTTAGTGTTTGTTATTAGGGTTATAAACATGAACTATTATTTTGGTTTTCAGTTTGTACGTGTTCCAGCGATTGGCGAAGCGAAAGTTACTGATGCTACAGGTGCAGGAGATCTGTTTGCAAGTGGGTTTTTGTATGGATTGGTAAGGGGATTGCCACTGGAGGAATGTTGCTGGGTGGGTTCTTGCAGCGGTGGTTCTGTGATTCGATCTCTTGGGGGTGAGGTAACACCTGAAAACTGGCAATGGATGTACAAACAAATGAAGACCAATGGACTCCAACTTCCAGAACCAAGCAAATCCTCTGTTGTGACATAGAAGAGTGGCCTTGTTCTGCTGTCACAAGGCTTCTTCATCGCCTCCCCCCCTCCCTAACTCAATAGAAAGAGCAGCGCTGTGTTTTTTAAGTGCCTACTCCTTGTTATTTGACTTCTCGCGAAGAAATGTTGAACGTAAAAGTTCATATTGTTTGATCTAGATCTCCATCTCAATTCAGGTGTCAAAGATTCAGTTTTATTATTATATGCAATGTCTTGAAAGTTGCCATTGAACAGAGAATCAAGGTTTTACTTCTTGTTCCTGCTTTATGATTCTTAACTCTAAATCGAGCATTGTTTATATCCCTCCATGGCCAGAACATGTATCCCCCTTCCCAAAACAAACTACAAGATATTATGTTCCAAGTAGATCAATGGTTCTCTCTGTGATTCAATTCGATTGCAATTGTTAATTATAGTACATTTTGCTACTTGCAACTGGAGTTGATGATGAAAAATCATAATCATTCTCAGAAGTATCCCAGATTTATATGTTACAATTTACAACGTTCAAAGTCCAGTATATTTTGTAGTGTTCTGAGTGAAGATTGAGAACCCAAATAAACATTTGCTAACAACTAGCACTTGCTCATTTATATATCAAAATGCACTGTATATGTCATATAAACTTCTACTTTTGCTGGGAAAAAAAGTTAGCTAATTTGAATGGTTCTAACATGTAAGAATATATATGAATCAAGCATCGGTATATAATCTATAAGTTGTATAGTTATAATACGTAGGGATATATATGAGTTTGCTTAAACGACAATTCTAATCAAATATATAGTTTAGTCCAGCCATTACTACAACTCTATTAGTTCTGACGCCCCACACCATTCTGTCCTCCCTATTCTTGCCTAAATTAGGACGAGAAAATGAGTAACCTATTCATTTGGTCAGCTACTTATGGAGCTATACTGAAGCACAGAGGCCATGTCGTCATTTCATCGATAGTCTCCCACTGAAGAAAATGGACTGTGCCTAACAACGAAAGACACAAAGGGGGCGGGGGCAGGAAGGGGGGAGAGGGAGAGAGAGCGAGAGAGAGAGAGAGAGAGACAGCCCAACAAAGTCATTTAAGTTTTAAGTAGTTCAATTTCAGAAGCATGAGTTTTAAATTGTTTGGACCAAAGTAAAGCATGATTGCATAATAAAACATCCAAGCAGAAAATATAATCCATCGTGCCACACAAAATCTCAACATTCTAAGAAGAAATCTCTGAATATGAAAGAAGTGAGGCCTAAAGGAGGACATAAGTTATCAAATATCCATTGGGGCGGCTCCTTCATCAGCAGGGGCAGCACCCTCTTCAGGTGCTGCTGGTTCATCACTACCAGCCTCCTCCGGGACTTCGGCAGGAGCATCTTCTCCAGCTATCTCAAATTCATTGATCAATGCTTGTATGGTTTCCTTGTCCAATGTATGGAAAGCCTCTCCTACTCCTACCACAGCGACCGTGCAATTGGAGCTTGTTAGTTTTTCCCCTTGCAAAGTTTCTCTCAGTGCAAAGAGTGCATCCTTAAGCAGGCTTTCACGTGAAGAATCCATGAAAGTCTCAAACTTACGTTCCAAGTAGGTTTTTGCAGCTTGTGACCGAGATCCAATGGCAAAAGCTTGGTACTCAAAGTAGTTACCACTAGGACAATTGTAATAAAGGTGAGCACCAGACTCATCCAGTCCACCAACAAGCAAGCCAACACCATAAGGCCGTTTCCAGGATCGTTGAGTGCAAACCTGCCACAAAAGCAAATGTTAAGATGATATAAAGCGCAAAAATAGGCATCAACTTCTGAATCAGACAGTTAGCCTCATATACCAATATAAACATTTGTTGCATTAACAAATCATCCTGAGAAATGGAGGGGGGAAATGCATTCAGCTCAATATCCACCAAGACACGACAACAGACCCAAACGATTTTTATTCTTTCTTTACTTTTGCCCCATGACCAAGGCTCGACATGTGTCATTTGTAGGTATCCTGGTTCACTGTCAAACACATCCCTAAGTGAAGAACTAAGACAACTTTGTTGATTTTTCTATTTGTATTATGGAACAAAATTGTACGAACATGATGCATACCAACCATCACTAAGAGCCAACCTCTACTTTTTCCTTCCATGAAAACAATTTGGGAGAAATTATGAGAAGAGTCTGATATCAGCAACCACACAGTTGATGCAACCTATCAACAAGCACGCAACGGATTGTGCAGAAGTAAAAGGTTCAGCCTGCTTATCCAAATAAACCATATGCTTCCTTGGGAAGAACTCGAAGAGTCCTCTTTTAAAACCTTTTTATATGAGCTAATGAACTAACTAAAAATTACACTAGTAAGACCTCAGGTTGAGTAAACCTGATGTAACTATATCCAAATCATTAAAGCATAAAAGAACATCACAATTCTGGGTCTACATATCAAGGCAAGTCTTCAATGACTTAAATGGAAGAATGTCCCTCAATTTCCATTGCGTTTCAACAGTGACAAAGTCAGGACACTCTTATGCCCCAAAACCTAAAAATGTATCACCACAAAATTGGCCTACTATACCATGGACTGGCCTTTATACTTGGCTTTTCTTTACCGGGCGCATGTTTATATTTTCCTCTACCTCAATGGGAGATTTCTACAGTTTAAGGAACTAAGTGAAATTTCAGAATGTCAGATATATGAGAAATTGCTGTCAAAATAAAACAGCCGCAAAGCCTACTTGGACTGCATTCACCAACAGTTAGCAACAAGAAATTTCAAGGAGTACCTCTGATGACAAAATTTTGCAGCTAACATGATCATAACTTAAGACCATAGTTCAAACTTTACACTGCAAACCCCTCGCCTTACTCTCAAAATAAGAAAAGTATAAGTTGCTGTCTAGTAAGATCTAGTATATGCTATAGTTTGCGATAAGATCGGTCGGGAAGCATACACTAGGCACACAATTAAAATAGAGCGAATACGCTGTTATGAACTAAAACAACTTTCTTGATTTTTCTATTTGTATTATGGAACAAAATTGTACGAACATGATGCATACCAACCATCACTAAGAGCCAACATCTACTTTTTCCTTCCATGAAAACAATTTGGGAGAAATCATGAGAAGAGTCTGATATCAGCAACCACACAGTTGATGCAACCTATCAACAAGCATGCAATGGATTGTGCAGAAGTAAAAGGTTCAGCCTGCTTATCCAAATAAACCATATGCTTCCTTGGGAAGAACTCGAAGAGTCCTCTTTTAAAACCTTTTTATATGAGCTAATGAACTAACTAAAAATTACACTAGTAAGACCTCAGGTTGAGTAAACCTGATGTAACTATATCCAAATCATTAAAGCAGAAAAGAACATCACGATAAGATCGGTCGGGAAGCATACACTAAGCACACAATTAAAATAGAGTGAATACACTGTTAAGAGAAGATTTAGAGCAGTGGCACTATTAAAAGCTTGAACAGCAGCATTAACTATTACTGGTAAACTACCTATAGCAGCACCTCATTTAATACCATGATCACCTTTGCTAGATAGTATCTAATTTCCTAAACATCACTTTTTTTATGATCGTGGTGTCCGGGCCAGCTTTCACGCACCTCGACTAATTCCACGGGATACCAAAACATCATATATTGATATCTGACATGAAAATCCAGTGAATTTATACCCAATTTTACTCCAAATAATAGGAATGTGTAACTTGAAAATTCTAAAGGGGAAATGTCAAAGTAGTAATAATTAACCAAGATGCAGGAACAAACTAAAGCACCTCATTTGTAAAGTGGAAGGGAGGAATTATTGGGCAACCATTGCTACAATTTGATTATGATCTATGTTGATCAGATCCTTCAAAAAAATTGCAGCATCCATGTCAACCGAACACGATTTGAGTGTGGGTGTGGGATCCACACCGGATTTGGTCAACCTAACTTGGGTTTCTTTCACTAAATCTACGGCTAAAAAGTACAGGTTGATCGGGTATTTGGTTGATTATAAGTAACAGAATACCTAAGTATTTACATAGAATTTAATTATACCAGCTTTATTTAAATAACTTCAACTAATTGCCAAAACATATACTTAGATACTCCCTCATTTTTAAAAAGAATGGCACTATTACTTATTAGTCCATTCCAAAAGAATGTTACCACTCTAAGTTTGGAAACAATCTAACTCGAATGTCCCATTTTACCCTTAGCGATAAGTCTTTATAGCCACAAGCCAACACAAATATTATGACACGTTTAAGACCACGTATCAAAAGTCTTATAACCACACAAATATCATGACATATTTAAGACCACAAGTTGTAAAAGTCTTCTTTTCTTTCTTAAACTATGCGCCCAATCAAATTATCTTATATAAAGTGAAACAAAGCGAGTTTGTCGTATTATACATTCATTGGTTGTATCTTAGGTGATGATGAATGTGACTTCTGGATCTGCACTCGTGTCGAGTGGCCCCACTCGTATTCGAGCAACATATATTATGATATATAACACTTCTTACTTCTCTAGAAAAAGATAAATTCTTATGGAATATGTTTAAGGAACATCACTGATTACAGCATTTGCATGCACTAAAAGTGCAGAAAATCATAATTTGAACTTGATAGTTCTCTGATAAATCTTATATATGCAACTTTTTTCACCCGAGTTTCAAATTGATCTAATGGATATTTGACAAGTGTAAAGTGAGCAGGCATTTTAGAAGGACTGCACAAAAGGGCAATAAAGGTGTTCAAGCTATTCCCCAGCTGTCTCTTAGCCATTTGCTGAAAAAAATTCCACCATTTCAGCAGTAATATATAAATAACTAGAGTCTTTGTGGAGTTTGAAGAAATCTAGGGTAGTGCTACCTCAGGTGGAAGAAATGAACATCTAGCATATAGGCAACCGACTGATTTTGTGAACTAAGGCAGCAAACTCTAGCGTGTTTTTTCTCCTTGGACCACCACAGTGATGGATACCTCATCCAGAATGATAAGTATAACTTAAACATTGCAATCTTCTTATAAGTTCCAACTCCATCACTAAATATACCTATAGAGCGGTACACAAGTTTACCTTAAAAGAGGAACAGAAAGGATCCAAAAAAAACTGTTTCATAATTAACCATTTTAGTTTCGTCGTGTTAACAGCATTGAAATTGTGACTCATATGAGGAAATGAAGTAACAAAGGAATAACTTTGTAACAGACACC